GTACATGCCTGTATTTAGACCTCTAAATGCCCACTTGCCTCCTAGTTCTTTCCTCTATTTCCTTTTACTTTCCTCTAGTCCCACTATCATGTTTGGCCTTCATTCAGGTGTCAGTAATTCCTCTGTTACATTGCTCTTGATCAAGCCCTATCAGGCACCCTACACACCCTCCTTGGCATCGATTTTAGATCACTTGTTGTTCCCTTGTCCCTGGGTTTGTTGGCACTCACTCCCTCCTGCCTCCCCATCCCACATGTCCCCAGAACCTTGGTCCCATTGTTTTCTTCTCCGGATTGTTTATCTGGCCTATCTTATCTAGATAGACATGCAGAGACAATAATAAGCAAAAACAAAACAGCAAAACAAAGGGAAAAAAAACAACAGAACCCAATGACCAAAAAAAAAAAAAAAGTATATAAATAGTTCCAAGTTTTTTTTTTTGACCTTTAGTAGGAGTGTTTTCCAGTCCAGTCTGATGGGGTGCCATGCTCTGGCCCCAAAGTCTATTTTTGGCATTTCCAGGGGACTTCATTGCTTTGCTCCCCTTGCTGCTCTGTTGCACACCCTTAGCATTCTGCCCTGGTATGGTGGGGTCAGATCAGGCAGAATTCCCACACTGTGCCTCCAGTATTGTCCCTCATAGCGCTATGGGTCAGTCAGTAAGGGATGCTGTGTCTCATGGTGGGGCCAGCCCTTTGGTCTCTTCTGCATCGCCTGCTCTGAGCTGGAATAGAGGAGCTTTATAGGATGAGTTAAACCCGACTGGAGATGGGATATGTATTCTCCAATTGCAATCTCGCAATGACTTGACTCATCTCACCTGCCTGCCCCTGTGACAGCCCAAACACCAAACCCACCGCCATCAACTCGATTCAGACTCATAGCGAAGCGACCCTATAGCAGAGTGGATTTGAACCCACCGACCTTGTGGTTAGCAGGCCAATTCTTATCCTACCGCCCCCTCCCATTAGCATCCAAATTTTGATCTAAGGTAGGATCCTTAGGGATCCAGAAAGAATTTATTTGTTCAACTAATAATGCACACCATACTAATCATGAGAAGGAAAGAAAGGATGTGGGCTCTGTGCTGAATGATACAGTCAACGTGTCCTTTAGACTGGTGTATTAGTTGTTTTTAAATTGATATAGAGTTTTAGATGAAAACACGTATTCTCCTGCTCATCCTTGGAAGTGTTAACATCTGAATCCTATCATATACCACAAACTCCTTGAACTGACATGCCATCCCTTTTCCGTATCAACTAAAGTGTTCTGTATAAATCCAGTTTGCCAAAGTTTTCTTTTTCTTTTAAAATGTATTATTATTTGGGAGTTAATACATAGGTTATATCATGCCATAGTTCAATCATGTCAAGCAGAATTGTACAATTGCTGCCACCGTTTCCGAACATTCTTTTTCTTCCTGGACTCTTTGACATCCTCTCCCTTTTATCCCCCACGCCCCACACGCAGACACACCACCACCACTGTTACCCCCACACATACCACCCCCGCAACCCTTGTTCTACTTGCTGTCCCTATAGGTTCATCAATCTTGGGTTTCATATACTGAAAAACAGAAAAAACGTAACACGACTCAAGAGGGTGACCACTAATGACAACACTTCTGAGATATACCCTAATATGAACAAATAAAAACCCAAAATACAGAAAATATTAAAAACCAAATCAGGTCCAACAAGCATCAGAGGTGGGGAATGACTGACAATTTTTTTTTTCCGACTGACAATTTTAACTGCTCAAGTCAGATAGATGCCTTTAATCTTCTGTGCTCATCTCTGCAATGCACTCTTCTCAGTAAGCACTTCTTTCCCTCAATTGTGGGTAACAGGAGTTCATTAGAAGATTATTTCCTATGTAGATACCACAAATGAATTCTGGGCTTCCACTGTCATCCATAGCCTTCTGCAAACTGGATTCTCACCATTTAGGCTCTGATATTAATCCCTCCTTCGACTTCACATTATATGATTTATAATCCTTAAGTGACTGGCTGATGATGGTGTGTTTCTCCCATGTGGACTTAGTTGACATGTCATGGAGATGTTGTTTGTTTGAAGACAAGCCTTTCAGACCCCAGAGGCTAATTTATCTGATAACCGACACCATCTAATTTTTTCACCACATTTTGCGATAGGACCCGTTATCTTCTGTGTTTCTTTCCTGAGGGCGAGTATCCTACTTTCAATATTTTGAGTAGTGTTCATTCAAACCATGACCTGGAATTCTCCAAGACCATATCCAGTCCATTACCTTGATTTATCTATCATCAGATCAACGCTAGAAGTGGGGGGCCAAGGAAAGAGTGGGCTTATGAACATAAATTAAATATGCAGCTTAAAATATTTTTGGCTACAGTGTGAAGAAGACTATTTCGGGAAGAGATGGGCAAGGTTGCCACTTAGAAATCCATGGTAATATGTAAGAAAAATCGGTAACCTGACTTGAGGCAGGAATAATGGAAAGTAAAAGGAGAATAGGAATTTACGTGACTTTCAGGCGATAGAGTCCCCCATATTTAATGAAAGAATTGCAGTTGGAGGACAGGGAAGAGAAGGAATCCGTGATGACTTCCAGATTTTTTATATAAATTCCTAGGAAAATGGTGGTACCACAAACAAGTTTGGAAATATGAGAACAGGCTCTCCTGAAACCAAGTGTGGGAATATTGTCCACCAAAATCCCTTTGTACTTTGATTCATAATACGTAATGAAATTTTAGCTGCTCAACTTCTATTACAGTGAAGTGTATTGATGAGATTAAGTTCTTCCAAATGAAATGTTAGCAAAAGTGAGTTGGGTAACTTCTGCAATACTTAATTTAAAATGTATATATTGCTTGCCTCCACTTTCTCTCCGAACTCCTACCTATGAGATGGAACATGGATATGGATTTTGAGACTATCATTCTTTAAGGAAGTAGAAAGCCTCATCAGAGTTGATCTTGATGTCACAAATATAGACAACATCTTAGGTGTGGGAAACAAAGATTTCTTCCAAGTTGTCTCTCCCAAACATATGTCAAACCAAGCTCCTTGTTACACTTGGTGAATGACTATACACTTGGAGGTCAACAGAAGTAGCTCAGGGGTTATTCTCCGTAAGGGTTATCAGCCATCCAGAGCTAGCAGACACGACTGTTTATCCCACAATAAGTAGGGCCCACTCCCTTCTGATA